TTTTAAAAAAATAATTTTATGGTCATTGGTGTTTTGCCTGCATGTATGTCTGTGTGAGGGTGTCAGAAGCCCCGGGACTGGAGTTACAGGCCCCCCCTCTCCTTCCTTCTTCCTCCTCCTCCTCTTCTGTGCTGTTTTTTATTTTTTTATTTTATTTTTTTTTTGGTCCAGGATATTTTTTTAAAAAAATAATTTTATGGTCATTGGTGTTTTGCCTGCATGTATGTCTGTGTGAGGGTGTCAGAAGCCCCGGGACTGGAGTTACAGGTATGAGCTGCCATGTGGGTGCTGGGAATTGAACCCCGGTCCTCTGGAAGAACAGCCAGTTAACCTCTGAGCCATTTCTGCAGCCTTCCGAGACACTGTGCTTTCTGATATTTCTGGCTGAGGGAGGCGTTTTATCCTCCATGCAGCCATTTCATGTAAGGGTTTGCTATCTGGGACATCCTGTGGAGGCGGGACTGAGATGGCATCAAGACAGAACAGTGTATCCTCTGTGACAGGATGGGTGCTGTCTTGTACTCATTCTAGCAAAGCAGTGAGACATGAACCAGAGCACTGGGTGGGCAACACTGGCACACCATCTGGTGATGTGTGCTTTCCACCTGGTGTTGGCCAGTTTTGCAAGGCAGAAATGATTCTTTCACAACTCATACCACAGAGTAAGTGCCTTAATTGTGTTTCACAGAGCTGAAGATGTGGCTCAGTGTAGAGCGCTTGCTGGCGCTAGCATATGTGAGGCCCTAGGTCAGTCCCTGTTGTTATGCACAGGACACATCAAGTGGTTTCATGGGTGGTGGCTGGATTCGAAGCTGGGCTTTTTATTTGATTTCTGGTGCTGGGGATTCAGCCGGGGACTTCAGCCTTGCTAGGCAAAGCTGCTGTACCTGTGAGCTATAATCCTCAGCCCTAAGGCTGGACTTGGCTGCTTGTATTCATAGGGGAACCACAATAATACAGACAGGAAGAAGAGAGGAAGGATGGCAGGAAGAACACACGGCTGATCGAAAGAGGGAGGTGGGACTTTTAATTAGGCTCCCATACTGTACAGGTAGATTTTGATGCTGTTCCTACTGAGGTGTTGGGACTCAGGAAGGGGAGTATAAGTGTCACATAGGCTTCAGAGAAGATACCATGGAGTAAGATTGGGAACA